CACCGCCCGCCCTCGCCAGGGCCGGACCGGGGCCGTGGGTAGAGCGGGCACTGCCCCTCCGGCCCGCGGGCCGACAGGCCTGGCGACCTTGTATAACTGATGGCGGACGTTTTAAGAAGCCCACCGCCAGGCAGGCAAGGCCCGCGTGTCACAGCCCAGTCCTCGCTCCTCAAACTCGCCAAACAAAATCCGGGCTCCCCCAGCATCTGGAGGGCACCGGCCCTCCCCCTCCGCCCAAGCCCACCGGGCCGCTCCGCAGGCGTGGGGCGCCGAGGCAGGAGGGAGGTTTCCAGGGGGGCTGGGAGGAGGCAGGAGACAGGGCCGGGCTGACCGGACCTGCACGCAGGGGAGGGGGCGGCTGGCACCTGGGGAGGGAGAGAGGAGCAGAAGCCCTGGGAGCCATGAAGGGAAGTGAAGCCACTTTATCTCCCGACTCCCATCTGCCCCTGGCCTTGGAAGTCACCCATGAACCAAGCGGCCCTTCCAGCAAGCTCACGCCGGGAATCCACAGCTAGGACTTGGCACTGGGATGCTGGGGGAGGAATTCTGCCCAGGGGGAGGAGGGACAGCCCCAGCCCTGGGGCAGCTTTGTGTCCAAGGTCCTGCATCTCCACATCTCACTGCTGCCCTGAGCTGCACTCAGCCCCTCTGCAATCTCCCAGGCACCAAAGGGCTGCAGGGACCAAGCCCTTCAAAGAGCACACTGCTGTGGCCAGACAGCCCATTCCCCAGGTGACTGATGTACTGACTCCAGACAAAGCAGCTCCCTACAGTAAGTGTTTCCTCCATGGGATGTTGTCAACAGCTCATTTTAACCCCCTGTCTAGATCCAAGCGATCATCAGGGAGCAAAAAGGCTAACAGGGTGTGAAGGCCAGACCTGACAATACTGACAGCTAAGTAAGCAGCAAGGGAGCACATCTCAGGACATGGCAGTGGCTGATTGCTAAGACGGCTTTGCTGTGGGGAGCCCAGCTCGCCGCTTCATTGCTGCTTTGGTCTCCTCAGGGCCCCGTCACTCAGGGATAAGCCCCGCTGTTCACAGCAGCTTTGCCTGAATGAGGACACTGGGATTCAACATGCAAGGAACAAAGAGTTGAACTATATTGATTAAGGGCCCAGATCCCACCATCATATACTCCAGTATCTTTAATGCAGATGTTGGGAGGTGGGAGTGGGCAAAATGTGGTCCTAAAAATGTGACACACACACACACACACACACACACACACACACACACACACCCCTCTATTCCTGTCCCTGCCACAGACACCCTGTAAGATTCCAGGCAAGTCACTTACCCTAAACTTTTCAGATGTGGTCATTATTAGCGTTCCTCGCTTTCTGGGTCAAGACCTAGATGAAGACCCTGATATCTGATTTTCAAGAGTATGGGACAGTCCGATGCCCATAAAGTCCACTGACCTGTGCTCTGAACAGGGAGTAGCATGCTGAGAAATCAGGTTCTAGGTGCCTCATATTAGTCATTTCCCCACCCCAAAAGTGTGTGCTTGTACATTTTGGACCATCATCTCCATGCCCCTTAGTCCCCATCTTCAGAACAGGGATAATAAAAGCTCTTTGCATAGAGGTGTTGTGAAGACAGACACATGGAAGTCCATGAAGCACTCAAAACCTACAGAGCCCAGTGACACAGCAAAGCCCACAAAGCAGCTAATTATTCTGCCTTTGGTGAAGGATTTGAATAGCATGCAATAAATAAAACAGCGCCACCCCAATCAGGAGAGGGCAAAATAGCCAAGAGCTGTTCACCCACCCTGTGCACTGACAGAGGCAGAGGTCCAGTGGAAAAAAATAGGGTACGATAGTGTAATTAAGAGGCCATCATAGCACCTACGTATAGAGAGCTAAATTGAGGTTGCAGAGGAAAGCTTCATTCTGGCATTTTCTCACCTTTGAGCGTTTGACTTACAGCCTTCATAATGCCCTATTCAAGTTGGGGATTTGTGCATGCGTACGCACAGTGTTTATATCGTCACACACACTGTATGCGAACAAACAGCATATCCTTTTTAATAAACATTTCAGGAAATTCTTTTCAAGCTCTGACTTTTCATCATTTAAAATGCTGGAGATTCACTCAGACTAGGAAATGCAGTGCCAGCACAGAGTCACTCTTTACCTCCGTCTCTAACACGGGAAGCCAGTCATGCAAGATGCAAAGTACATTGTATATTTCATAGCTTAAAATACACTTGCAAACTGAGACACTGTTACTACCTCTTCTTTTACTCAGATAGAGTTGAAAAGTAAGTGCAGATAATTTAGGAACATACAGATTCAGCATAACTCAAATCACAATTCTGACTTCTAAAATCAGCTGAATGCTAGAATAGTGAACTCTAACAAAACAGAACCTATTTGTTCTTGCACTGAATACATGCATTTACGTACACCCCCCTCTAGCCCTAACTCCCCCAGACATACACGCATTCTCTTAAACCAAATTTTGAAAAACTTAATTCAAATCTCACTCCACAAACATCCTCTTTCAAGCCAATGCAACCGTGCGCCAAATTCATTGCACATGTCTCAGGAGCAGTCTCCTCTGAATGTGATTTACTCTACATTTCCTTGAAGTTACTTACAGTCAGACCCTGAAGTCCATGCTTATGGAAAACTCCTATCGACTTAAGTGTGACTAGCGTCCCAATTCTCAAAGGCATGGCAGCTGCCGTTGCTAATAAAGTAATTCTGGAAAGGCTCAGCAACCCTAAAGTGTCCCTCCAAGAGTTATTAGTATTACAATAGCACTGAAGCACCTCAGATCAGGACCCTGCTGTTGTAGGCAGTGTACAAGCAAGTAATGTAAAGACCGTGTAGTGTAGCGCGATTGCCTTTAAAACCATGGAGAAGAAAAAAGCCCAGAACCGGAGATTTTCAGTACATGCCGCAGCATGCAGCAGCTGGAGGTTTTCCATATAACAGGGAAGCCTGTGTGACACTTGATCTCCTAGAAGGAAGTTTACCTTCCTCTGTTTCTACCCTCCCTGAAGCTGGTGTCTTTGGTCTCTTCTTTCTCTATATAAGGCATTTCCTTCCCAAAAGCTCCTTATTAAGCGGAATCTAGAGCCATCTCAAAGTTGTTTTCCCATCCCCGTGAATCAGACTATGGGGGTCTCTTGTAACAAAATTGCTAAGAATTTCTAGCTGGACTATGTAATCTCAGTGCCTGGTATCAAGGAGGGGAGGGTGGGGAAAGAGCGACATGAAATCATTGACTTGTGACAGACATTCCTCAGTAGCAGCCACCTCCTAATGACAGCTAATAAAGGGAATCTTCTTTTGACAGAGCTGCATGCCTGCAGTGGGACTGGAATGTACCCCCGATAAACCCCCCGATAACCTAGGAAGCAGGGATCACACCCAAAGAGTATAAAAGAGCAGCCAGAAAGAGGAGCAAACAGAACGAGGGAGTGAGCCATCGAGACCAGAAGGGACCTCTCAGAAGAAGCTCAAACTTGCTCCTATTCCAAGCCAACCCAGCAGGATGGACACAAAAGGTTCATTTCTCTACGGGCTCCTGTTGCTGCTGCTCTTCCAGTTCCAGTCCAACCGAGCCAACCCCATCTACAGCCTCAGCCCTGCCAAAGAACTGGCCAGCATGGAGGTGAGGACTCTGCTTTGTAATATTAGGCTATTAGTGTTAGTGGGGTAGGATGCAGCGTCACCTGTTCTCTTTAGGCAGCTACTCCATCTGGCATAGATTTACAAGCAGAAATCTGTCTGGGGCACCTCACCATTATGCCCCCTGTCAGCTTTAACCCTTCGCAAGAGAGGGGTTGCATTCTGCTTGGGGAACCCTGAAGTCCTGAGACCTTCCGATTCCTTCAGAGGGATGCTGAGAGCCATCCAGCTGTGGAGTGCCTGCCTCCTCAGCACAAACACTTTCTCTGAGCAGAAGTAGAGGCAAGTCTCCAAGAGGGGCTTCTGAAAGGGGTGGCTGCCACTTTCCCAGGGAAGAAAAGAGACTTGGAAATCTCTCACTGAATCACAGGTGCATTAAAGCAGAGAACAGTGAAGCTGTCAGTTTGCATTTACATGGGCAGCATGTGAATATGTGGGCTGGGGTGGGGTGCTGCTGGCACGTGTCTTCCATGGACCTTGCACTGTGTTTAAACAGAGACGCTGTGTGCTCATTCAGAACAGCATCCGGCGCTAAGAGGTTATATTTATACACAGGCTGTATTGCTATATCAGCCTAGGGTTCGGTACAAAATTAAGGCTCAACCTTGCAAGATGCAGTGAGGTTAGCTAGGTGCTTAAAACTAAACATGTACCCAACTGCTTTGCTGGATTGGGACCAGAGAGCAGCAGACATGCCCTGATGCTGTTAGAAGACTGGCAAGAGTTAAGCCTAACTGCTTTGCACAATGCCTCCAAGCTTGCTAGGATCTGCCCCCGCAAGCTGCCAAAGGCAGTATATCCAAGCCCTAGGGCATCCAGCCCTAGGATCCAGCTTCCAGCTGATCCGAGCAGTCTTCATAGGGCAACCTGCTCCTAGGGTAAGTCAAGGCAGTACTGACCAGTTTAAATTTTCCCTTGAGGGCAGGCTTAAAAAAAATGCCCATTCTACTTGAGGAGGCAGCAGCACTGAGTTGCACTGACTGCAACTTTGGGGCTTCCTTCAAAAGCTTCCCTATATAAATCACATTGCAGTAACCCAAAGGTGGCAGAGATGGGGTGAACCGGTGTGAGGTCTGCAGAAGAATGCAGAGCTGGCAGCTTCCTGGCTAGCCCAAGCTTAGCACTGCAGGCAGCAGCTTCAGCCAGAGACACTATGAGGAGAGAGGGCCCCAGAAATGCCCCACAGCTGTGCACCATTTGGGAGACAGTCAGGTACATCCTTCTGGAGAGGATGCAGACCTGGCTTTCACTCCTTCCCCAATGTACTTCCCCTTCCCTGCAACAAGTGTCACTGCCATCTGTGCCAGCTCCTCTCACCTTTGCTTAGGGCTGCATGGTGCTTTTGCAGTAAGAAAGATCAGACCAGTCTGAGATCTGCTGGTCATTGGCAGCCTGATGGTTCTCCAGTTTGCCCCCGCTGCACCCCCACTTGCTGGGATGAGGGGTTGAGGGGTGATGCCAAGACAACATAGGTGGAAAGGAAAGTGAGAAGCCCATGGATGTGGAGGTTGAAGTCTGCTTTCCCCTTGCAGGCACTCCTGGAGAGGCTGGAGGACAAGTTCTCATTGATGGAAGCCCTGGAGTCTAGCCCTGACCTGCAGGAGCCTAAAGCTGAGGAAGAGATGCCGGCAGAACTCTTAGAGGACAGCGATGTCCCACAGCCTGAGCCCAGGTTCACCCCTAGTGCCCCTCAGTCCTACCGTGACCCCTTCCTCAAGAAGCTGAGGGGGCTGCAGGCCCCCAAGATGATGCGCGACTCTGGCTGCTTTGGGAGGAGGATTGACAGAATCGGCTCCCTGAGCGGGATGGGCTGCAATGGTGAGTCCCCTTATAACCCCCCTTCCACACATTGGCCATCAGTTCTCACTGCCCCTATGCTCACTCCAGCCCTTCAGCTTTACCCTCTCTCACTTCAGGGCCCTCTGCTATGCTTTCCCTCTGCCTAGGTATCCTTCAAGGCCAGGCACCCACCACCCAAGCAATTCTGCTTCCCTTCACTCTCCTCCCAAACTAGTGCCCTGGCTCCCCCTTGTCCAATGTTCATCTCACCTTAGTGAGACAGTTGACTCCGTGGGTAAGAAACACCTCTCCAGGCCTGGCCCTGGCCCTGCCATACCCTGTGGATAAGTCACTGTGCAAACTAGTGGTGCTTGATAAAGTTACCTGAACACTGGACAATGCAAAGTGCCTAGATACCACAGCGGTGGGCACAGCAGAAAGCCTGGGAGATTGTGCCAGAGATATGCAGGTTTTGGCAGAGATCATACACATTTTCAGCCTTACATGGGGATCACATTGTCAGCCTCACATGTTTGCTTAAAGAAAAAAGGAAAGCTCCAAAAAGAGAAGGGTTTTAACGAGGGTTCGATAGAAGAGCTCCACAGAAATGGCCTTTTGTCCATATCCACACACTTCCCCACTTCAGCCAGCCGGGATTGCAAGCCAGTGCATCAAGCTGGTCTGCTTCCCTTGTCCCAGTCAACCGACATGCCACAAGGAAACCCAAGCACAGAGAGGATGGGGAGCAGTTTTGTTTGGTACAGATTTAGGACTGGATCTTTTGCTGGTGTGAACCAGAACAGTTGAATCAACAGGGTGATACAGGTTCCCACCAGCTGAGCTCCAACCACAGTAACTAACTAGTATCAGATAAATCCTCTTTTTGAGGAGGTGGGGAAGGGAATATTTTAATACCATTTTAAAAAGACAGTGCCTTCATTAAGAAGCGCTCAGGCATGGTTTCTAATATTATTCCCTAGACACTGTTTTACTTGCATTCTCTTTCCTCAATAGCATATTAGCACAGCATGCAATACCACTGTGCAGCTCTTTCAAGGAGATCTATGGATGAAAGTTGCTACTCATTTTACAAAGCAGAGTAAAGCCTCAGGGGCAAAGTAGTTTTCTAGAGGTTACACAAGAGAGCTGCCTTGGGCAATTTGATCCGATTTTTAGTCAAGACCACTGGTGAGAAGGGCAATGTGGGTAATTACAAGCCCTGAAAGACACAGCAAGTGGCAATAACTTCTCCCCTGTTTTGCTTGCAGGCTCCAGGAAGAATTAAAGCCACTTTCCAGCACTCTTGAAGGATGCTTTCCAGTGCCCATCTCTCCCCGGATGCTTACCATGTGCTTTCTAAACTCTGTCATGGAAAAAAGTTGTGCCTATTTATTTATTTTTATTTATTTATTTATTCAATGTTTTATAAAAAGAACATTTCTTACTTTCACACCAACAGATCATGTTGAAATAAAACTAACACATTAGTCTTCTAGGCTGGATTTTTCTCTTGTTTGTTGCATTAAAAAGGATGTGTTTTTTTTCCTGAATCCAAGTGCGTATATTTTATGACGTGCTCTCATCCCCAGGAGGTGGCATCTTACTGGTTTATTGGTGATGGACTTCAGAGCAAGAAAACAGCATAGCCGAGTTGGCGAGAAGTGAGGGGAACACCTACACCCCTCACTGCCATACCTAATCCAGAATTGCCTGTTAGGGGTCGGTTTACGCATTTCTTACAAGGGGTGGAGGGGCACATTGCATGTGCTTAACAGCACACACCAGAGACAAATCAGCAATCAGGTACTTTGATTAGCACCCACAAAGCATAGGATTTGTAGCGCTGGTGCTGCAGATCCCGGGGATTCAGAGGAGTCTGGTGCTGGACTGTAAGCACAAGTCTCTCAGATTTGGGGGCGAGTGTGAATCCCACCATTCTGCAGCCATTTCTGTTTGGCCTTCCCTGGACACCTGTCTCCACCCTGCTGTGGTAATCACGGCCACACACACACAAAGCAAGTTCCCTTAGGAATGGGCCTAGGGCCATCTAACTGCCAGCTCCGACAGATTTAATTCCTGGTTAGCACCCGTGATCCAGAGCTTTCTGAGAATGGGTATCTAAACTTGACTTCCACAGCCATCCTTCACTTTTAGGGAAAGTCTGAATGCTAAATATACAGGTTGATTTTCCCAAGTGCCTCACCTACACCATGTTGTTCACATAGAGGTCACCCCAGCTCCAGGTGCCTCCCATTTCTGCAAATCAGCATGCACACTCGGGCATCTAAGGCTAAGCACCAGCTTCTGCTTCCACACACCCCAGAAAGCTCTGGTCCACAAGCCAGCAACCTGTGTGTTTGTCTTTGCACTGGTGCTCAGATCATGAGACCAGGTCTGATCTCAGATGCACTGGAATAGAGCAGGAGCGACCCCACCAGAAGCAACAGAACTATACTAGCGTGATGGAGAGGGAGATGGAGCCACCTGGGAATTAGTGCTTGCACCAAACTTAAATTTGGCCTTCAGAAACACCAGGGAGGATGTGGCAATATAGCACTGCATGGGAACGGAGGACATGGTCTCATACTCTCCTGCTTGCAGCTTTCCCTGTTGCACCCTCCCCATGCTCCTTGCTCTCATGCCCACAGACACACACATCAGTAGGACTGACACACACATGGTTTCTGATCAGCTGTCACCTGACATGCAACCAATATCCTCCAAGTCACTGCTTGCATGAGTATAAGCCTCCCAGCTGCATTTGACCTTGGGAGCTTTTCTAACAGGACGAGCAGTAACTAACTGCCTGATGGCAAGTCGCTCACACTGCCAACATCACCCATAAGAGGCCACAAGTGGCAGAAGGCAGTGATGCAAGCCAACAGCATCAGAGAGGGTTTCTCTGCAGGGAAAGCCCACACAACAGCATCCATACAGTCTGTGCAGTTACTGGGAGACACTGGAGCCTTGCCTTACCCACATAAGTGATGGTTACTTGGAGTTTTAAAAGGCTCTCAGTAGAATAGTGGTATTCTGTACCAGCCCAGCTATGAGGGGTTGATGGATGCAAACCAGACAAAAACCACCAGCTGCCACAACCCAGGTCAGGGAGAGAAGGAACATACTTGTCATGTCTCCTTTTACTGGCCAGCAAGCTTTTTCCTCAGCTAGGCCAAAATCTGAACTCAAAACAGATGGTGCACTGAGGAGGGAGAAATGCTCACAGCATGGTATGATGAGCTGCTTTGATTACCAGTGCTAGGTTTGCTGGGAGACAAACAACAGCCCACAGTCTATAGCAATTGCCAAAAGTACCTTGTTTGCAGGAGACTCAGCAACTGACTGGAACATGGGATGAGCCAGAGCTGCTGAAAAATAATGCATCTTCCTCCCCGTCCCTATCACAGTCACCAACAGGCCCAGTAATAGAGTTAAATACAGAGGCTTAGAGGAACAGCTGCTAAGTCCTTCCCTTTTATACCTGTGAAGAAATGGGTGACCCCCTGACTGCAGGTCCACATGCTTCTGGGAAGTGTAGTTCCAGCCACATCATTGAAAAGAATCAGCTTTAATGAATGAAACTTGCTTGGTGATCGCTGAGCGATGAGTCACCATCAAGTTACATCATGTCAGGATACTTATTTGTAGGGGAAAGCTGTTGATTCTTTATGGAGGGATAAATTGACCCACGTCGCAGTGATTGAATGGCCAGGATTTTGGAGGGGAGTGAGTGGAGTTTTGTGGTAAGAGACTGTGCACTGGCCATCTGGAAACTTTGGTCTCAACCTTTAGAGCAGGGGTGGGCAAAATATGGCCTGAGGGCTAGATTTGGCCCACTGAGGGTTTTTGTCTGACCTGTGGTGGGTCCCTTGGTCCCATGCAGCCCAGGCATGGGGGGCAGCTTGGGCCGCAGTGTATGCAGCTGGTCCCACTGCCCCTGGGCATGCAGAAGGGTTGGCGCAGCATGGTGGCTGGACTCACTTCCTGGCAGCCCTGGGGGCAGCGGCTCCTTCCAGCTGCCACTGCCAAACCTGGCCCTGCTGCCTGAGCACCCCGGTCCATGCACCCCAAACCCACTGCTGGGGGTGGCACCTGAGGGCCCAAATTAAGCTCCCTGCCTGCCCATGGCCCCATTCCATAAGCTCAGCCACATGCCCTGCCTGCTCGGCTCCCAGCCAGTCTCCATAGAGACCCCAGGATAGTGGGGTGGTGACAGTGTGGCTGGGGCTGGGGCAGAGCTACGATCCACTCCCTGCATGTCCCTGTGATGGGCACTGGTTCTGCAGGCAGGGACATTCAAGGGATGGAGCACAGCTCTGCCCCAGCCCTGCGCTGTCACCACCCCACGATCCTGGCCAGGTGGGGGGCATGCTCAGATGCCCTATGGTGGCTGTGCTAAACCATGCTGCAAAGTCCCCAACCCTTGTAGCCACAAACAAGCCTCCCAATGTGGCTGAGACCTGCCCACTCTTTTGCTTTCCTCAGCATCAGTGAGGCCAGGACCTGAACCCAGGCACTGCCTCGCCCACCTTTCCAGTGCTGTCTCCTTCCTGGAGCTGGGCATCTAAAGAGGAGGAAGCACTGGTGGCGAGTGCAGCTAGGTCTGAGATGTGAGCTCGGTGCCATCAAGACACTGCATTTGCCCAGAGGCAGAAATGTAGGAGCCCAGGGGACTTTGCCAGGAGAAACCCAAGTATAGTGCCAAGTTGGGGACTATAGGCACCACCTGGCCTGGGCATGGCTGAGTGGGAGTGTTGAGGATCTCAGAGACACCTATACATTGATCTAAGAAGCTTAAGGTGGCCTACTCGCTTTGCAGATAAAGCAGGGCAGTGTTGTCCATAAAGGCAACCTGCCACCGCCTTGTAGCAGAGACGGAGGAAAGTCCAGTGCTGTCCCATGGGGCTGGTCCCAGCAGGAGCAATGTAGGAGGCAGCCATGAGAAACCAGCACCATGCACCAGGCCAGTTCCACATGAGGAGCTGCAGGCTGGGGAAGGCAATAACAATCCTGGCTTGAGCAGCACGACCAGCCCCTGCTGGAGCCGCATTTCATCGACACATCAGGGCTTTGCAAATCCTCCCTCCCTGCCGGCCCCCAGGGCACAAAACACTCAGGAGGGGAGTGGAACGTGCTAAAAATGGAAAGAGTCTGGGCTGCCCGACCCGCTGGCCAGGTGACTCCGGCAACCCCAAGCCAGTTCCTGGTGGAACGAGTCTGTGTTTGCTGCGGGCCATAAGTTAATAGCCCCTGCGGTCTGGGAGAAGCTGGTTGAGGGAGGTCATCTAGGAAAAAGCATCCCCTGCTGGCTGCGTTTTATGGCTGAGCGTCTGCAGGAGATTGTGGAGCCAGGTCAGCCATGTGAGGGGCTGGGGAGCATGGGCCGGGGTCCTGTAGAGCTGGGGAAGTCTGTGGCCAGAGGGCTGGGCCCAAACTCAAGGTGCCAGCTGTGGTCAAGGGGGCCTGGCCCAGGGGCTGCTCAGCACCAGCCTCTGCATGGAAGTGCCAAGTGCGTTCCTTACATGGGAAGGGGACAGTGTTGTCTAGTGGTTTGAGCTCAGCTCCTGCAGGCATGAGGTGAACCCCAGCTTCGTTCACTGCCTCAGTTTCCCCACTGATGGGTAGCTGTAATCACATGCGAGTGCCTGGCAGCGGGGTTGGGAGAGGCGGCAGGAGCTGGTCTGTGCTGGTTGGGTGAAAAGTGCCCTGGGTGCTGTGGGGTTTTACGGTTCTCTTCTCTGCATCTTCCCAGCCCTGTAACCCACTTTGCTGATCTCCCCTGGCAAATGCAGCCCCAGCCCCAGCCCCAGCCTTTTCTGGGGCTGACACTCACTGGACTGCACTCCTGCCTCTGATGCAGCGTGTGATCACGGGGCCGCCAGGCTCCTGCCTTCTCTCCCCTTCCCACTAGCTGTGAGGCGGCATCGGGAGCACTGCACCAGCACTCCTTTTCAATGGCCCATGGGGAATCTCGGTGTCAGGGCACCAGCTCAGCTGAAACTCCCTGCCGTCCTGCATGCTGCCCCAGCCTGAGCTCCGGTGAATCGGTGTCCGCAGGACAACTCTCTTTACCCCTGCTTACAGTCTCAGCAGAGAAACCGAGGTCCAGCTGGGCTCCGTTCCTAGAGCACCCAGTTCCTCCCAGCACCCAAGGCGCACGCTGCTGGGGGAACCATGACTAGTTACTGGAGGTGAGCAGGACCAGTGGGCCCCTGCTGCCAGGCCCTGTACAAGCCTGGAGCCAGGAGTGGGTTACAGCCACACAGGGCTTAGGAGCCAACCAGCCCACAGAGCTGTTTCTCCAGCCATTCAAGATCAAACATTTTCTTTCCTCTCCCTCCTGTTCTGCTCCCCACCAAGCCTTGACCCAAAGCCCAGGAAATAAGAGGCTGGGGGCCTGGCCCTGCTTTGCTGGATCCCCACCAAGAACTAGGGACAGAGGCTCAGCGGTGCCAAGGAGCGAGGAGCAGAACAGATCACACGGGGCTTTCCCCGATGAACGCTGCAATTTACATCCACTAGCTCTGGCTACAGGGAGCTGAGCCCAGTTACAGCTACAGGGGACTGGGAGTCCCTTGGGGCAGGGGCAGTGCCAGACACAAGGGGCCCTGGCCCATCCTTGGAGCTCCCAGGAAATAGTACAGATAGCAAACAATTACCGCATGAGAGGGTGTTGTCTTTGCATGCCATTCTCCTCTGCTGAGAGCATCCTTCCTCAGTACCACTCTCACATGCCTGGCCATGGCCACGATGCCCATTAGTGTTTGCCAGTCAGTTGTCCAACGCTTGTCTAATTGTTTCCACTAGAGAGAAGCAAGAGCCCAGAGGCCTCACAGGGAGATAACGGGGTGCATTTTTGGTGCTTCTCTCACACATTGGAAGTGTGAAACCTCTTGAGACAAGTAGACAGGAATGCGGGCCCCGCCGGCAGTCCTGCTGGAGCCATCCCTGTCCAGGCCCTGGCCCCGATAACTGTAAAAGGGAATCTTCTGCTGGCTCCCATTGCCGATCCTTTATCGTGGGCGAGTGACAGAATGCAGGGGCTTCGTGCCTGGGGCATGACTCTTTCCACTGTGGTGCATATAAGTGGAAGGGGACAAGACTGCCAGCTCACAGCAGGAAGGAGAAGAGCACCAGGCCAAGGGAAGACGGGAAGATGGGCCTGTGGAGCACAACTGCCCACCAGGTCTCCCTGCTGCTGATGCTGCTCTTCCTCATTATCACTCAGCTCCAGGGACAGATTGGAGCCCATCCCATGTATGGCTTGGTCTCCACTCCTGAACTAGCTGATTTAAAGGTAGAACACCAAGGTCTATGGTGCTGGCTGGGGTGCCCTACTAGCTCCAGCCCTTAGGCCGAGGCCAGCATAATGCTCTCCTGCCTGACATCGCTCTTTCTCTCTATGCATTTCAGACCCTGCTGGATCGCCTGGAGGACAAGCTCCCATTAGAAGATGCAGAAGGACTTAGCGAGCAGAATGAGGGAGCTGCAGATCATGGGAACCCTTGGAACAGAGAGTACCTTGGACCCCAAGAGGAAGACCCTGCCTTGGGGCATGGGAGCTGGGAGCTGCTGAAAAAGCCTCCTTCCAACCTGAGGAGCAAACTGCAAGCCCTGCTGACCTCCCCCCACAGCTTGAGAAGGGCCTCAGACTGCTTTGGCCAGCGGTTAGACAAGATAGCAGCCCAGAGCGGGCTGGGATGCAACAGCTACAGGGTAAGGGGGGCTGGGAAGGGGACTGTGATGGGGCAGACAGGAGGAGGGCTCTGGTGAACCATGGGCCTTTGTTTTTTAATGCTTCCTTTGGAGCCCCCTCACTCCCTCATCACAGGCTGTAGCACCCAGGCAGCTAGTTCTAAATCCCAGGCTTAAAATACACAGAAGAGTGAGAGTCACCCAACATGCTGGTCTCTGGGGCCTGGCTATGATGAGGGGGTGAGCTGCTCCTGGCTGACAGCTGTAGTCAAAGAGCTCCTCGCACCAGTCCCTGCAGGGCAGGGGTCTCAGACCCCACCTGAGACAACCTTCTCCAGGGCCATGCTTTGATTCCAGAGGGGGGGAATTTGCCACCTGCTACCATGAAGGACCATAATCTTTAGGGTCCATTGCTCAGGCGGATATGGCAAAACTCATCCTCTCAGAGGTAGCTTTTACCTTTGTGATAAGCAGAAGGTTGGGGCAAGTCCTGTTTGGTCTCCTGCCAGTTAGTTGTGCTAGTCCCAGCAGGGATAAGCTGTAACCAGCTCCTGCAACGTGGGACACAGATGGAAGGACAAGAGAAGGAGTCCAGTCTGCAGGGGTCACAGCTCAGGCACTAACAGTCCTGTTCTGAAATGATTCAACTTTGCAGTAAGATGGAGCCCCCGGCCACCCCCAACCCCACGAGCCATGCTCCGGGATCCTCAGTGCACAGAGCGGCCCCAGGAGCATTGTGCCTGGAGCAGAGGGGGGCAAAGAGCTGAGGGAAGGAAAACCACAGAGGGGGAGGCGCTGTTGCAGCATTGCTATCAAGACAGGCCTAATTCCTCCTCTTGTCTGCCCACCTTTTATCTAAGCATTAAGGATTTGCATTGCCATATCACTGCAAGTGCTGTGCATACATGGAATCAACCCCCAAAATGTTTGCTGGAGAAACCAGCTAGTGCCAGACCAGAGGTGGTGGTGGGGGAACAGCATGACTTCGTTAGGCAACCTGATCAGAGGAAGAGACCTGTAGGTAGGGGAGGCAGAGCAGAAGTACCGTTTCATCAGTTCTTTCTTGGCAGCACCTAGCAAAATGTGCACGAAGGCAGGAGGGGGAGTGCAAGATGGGGCACAGCTGGGAGGTGTTGGGCTATGAGGCTGGCACAACTAAGCATCAGCATGCCATAGGAGCTGGCAGGGCAGGGACCTCCGGCAGAGACGCCCCTTGGCCTGGAAGCAGGGCTGGATGAGGTGTTGGGGAGAAGCTAGGTGTTGACAGAGGGGACCTGCTTGACCCCCGTCAGCTCTGCAAAGCAGCAGTCTCATGTACATACACATACAGCACCTAGCACCATAGGGCCCTGATCTCTAGGCACTAAGATAACAAATACTTTGACTAGATTTCCACCCCTACAGCAGTGCGGCCTTTTCTTCCTGCATTTTTGATGCTAGGCCTGGAAACAGGGACCATCCTTATCTTCCCTTCTCTGAGACCCAGGCATCTACAGCTCAAGAGAATCAGAGCTCCCTGAGCTGGCCCTCTGTTGCCCCAGATGCAGTAGGTAGTGTTTGCCTGGTAGCCACCTTCACTTGCAAAGCAACAATTTGCCTCTCCCCACTCCCCAACCTCACGGTGGAAGGACCGACTTTCTGAAGCACGAAGCTGAGCAGCGCAGCTGTGAGGGTCGAGCTTCAGCACCTTGGACAGAAAGAACAGGCCTGGCTCTTTCCTTCAATAAAGGAGTGCAATAAAAGGACAAGGCTCATTTGTGAGTGTGGGTGGTTGGTTGTGGGGGTAATTAAAATACTTGAATGTAATGAGCCCACAACCCCCCTGGGAAAGGATTTAAATCTGCAGCCAGGCACTGGGTTGCATTAAGCATAGCTGTGCAACCATGGTATTAACCCACCTGGGCTGCCCGGTATAAAATGCAAGGCAAAGCGGGAGAGGAGCACCCTGCCCTGCCCCACCCTGGTGCTTTTCTCCAAGCAATAACCTCACCTCCCATCATAACACCTCAGCAGAGCCCGTCAGTCTCTTGGTCTCACTCCAGCTGGCTGCAAGGCCATTGTGGACAGCAGGGAGGCTGAGCTTGCTCTGAGCTGATGTCCTGAATAAGGCCTGCATCTGGTCTCCTGTTTTGGAGGGGAGGAAGCCACCAGGCCTGGGCTCCCTCTAGAGCAGATGGGAGAGGCAGAGCCTGGCGCTTCCTGCATTTAAACACAAAAGTCCCGAGTTGAAGCCATTCCCCTTGTTTCTGCCCCAGACACTCAAGGCAATGAGCAGAAGGGAAGCACAGTAGTTGGCAGCTCAGCAGGAGTAGCATGGGGCAGCATGGGGGTAGATGAACAGAGCCAGGACTACCCAGTGTACGATGCTGTATGAGCTGCAGTGAGGGGAGAGGGGCAGTCACCAGTGCTGCCAGTCTCCAAGACTGCACTGTGGGATCCCTTTGGCACCTCTGCTCTACACAATGACTAGGACTGGGGCTGAATTGAGCAAGCCCCATTTCTTACCAGAGCGAGGCAGTCACACACCTGGGGAAAATAAAATAAAGCCAGCGCCAGCACCCATTAATGGCTAGGGAGGAAATCAGGATGAGCTCCAGCTAAGGAGAAAATCAGAAGAATCTTGCATACAAACACCTCTCAGACACGTGGGATGGAGGAGGGGGCAAAAAATAACCCAAGTAGAATCTCATCTCCTGTACAAAAGGACCAAGCCACAGCAGAGTAACTGGGTCATGGGGTCCTGACACACAGGACTGGAAGGGTAAGGACACCCAAACAGCACAGGCTTTTAAAAACAGGTTTCTGAAAGGGATAAAAAACACTGCTGTTTTAGGGTATAATCCAGGGGGGAGCCAACCCTTCAGTGGGGCAGGTACAAAAAAATGCATCCTGCAGACAGATGCCACCTTGCTGTCCAGAGGGCTGCTTCCTTGTAAGCAACTGGTACTGGCCACTGTCAGAAAGAGAAAGGACTAGAATAATCACCCAAATCAACAATTATAGTAGTTCTTGCTGGTGCCCTATCCACAAGTGCCTGCTAATATAAAGACATGAACAAACAGCTCCATTATTTCTTACATGGAAAAAATTCTGATTTTTTGAGTTGGGTCTATTTCACCATCGATTCCCCACCAAATCACAGGTGTCGAACAAATAAGCCAAGCAGAAAGAGAAAGAACCCACAAGGCCCAGGACATGCAGAAGGACACACACCAACATTTTACTCTCAGACAGGTTATGGTTACACAAATATGTCCCAAGTGCCAAAGTTCAAAATAAAAATAGATTCATACAAATTTAAAAAAAAATAGTTTATGTACACCGTGGAATCAGCTTCCGTCATCTCCGAACAGAACAGTGCAAAAAAACCAAACGGAAACCAACACAAATGAGATACGTTGCTACTACCAGAACGGCTCACGGGACAGAGGGGTCACAACCTGGAACCACTACGAACACTGCACAGGGACCCGGGACACCGAGCCAGCGCCCCCCACTGTCCCAAGCTTTCGCCATCAATACTGAGCCAGTACTCAGACTGTTCTTTAGTGTTGCTCTGAGTAAGGGTTACAGGCACCTGTGTTAGGCTGATATTTCTTTGTATGCCAAGGAGCAGCCAGCGCCAGACCAGAAGCAGTTAAACGCGTGAGGAAGTCACATGACTGGCTAGGGGCATGGGGAAGTCTGACGAGGTTAACAAGAGCCTTTGGACCCACCACCCTGGCAGGCGAGACATGCTGCGTTACGGACCAGCATGCTGTTCCATTAGCCCCTTGGACCCAGGGATGCTCCCTGCTGCAGGTGCTATGGCCAACGCCGCTAGGCACACACAGCAAGTCCACTCCTGGATTTCACTTCAAAGGACCAGCGGGCTCCCATCCCCTGCCCCAAGCTCTGTGCTCTCTGGCACAGCAAGAAGAGGAACTCGCTCCCTTTGCTGAAGGTTTGTACAAGGGACAGGCGGGCAAAGCAAGCAGCACTGGAAGAGGGCTGGAGTCAAGCAGCGCAGGGTGCTCAGACATGCCTGGGCAGTACCTTTCAGCCAGGTTCATTGTCCTCCAGAATGAAAATGAGATGTCCAGCCACACCCTGCACTGCCCTGGCCCGAGGAGGAACAGAACGGGACAGAATTAGCTCAAGGCAATGGGCAAGAAGGGAAGCAGCCTGTTTTGTCTTGGGAGAGATGAGGTGGGAGGGACAGGACTGGCACTCAAGGGGGAGAGGTAGGCATGGCAGGGCCTGGTCAATGCCAACAGCACATCCTGCAGCATCCCAAACTCCACCCGAGGGAGGTCTTCATGCTACTGAAGAGGGTTGTTCTACTGCATGATTGGGACCAACCCAGGAGCCAGGTTCCTTTGCAATGGCAGCGAGCTCTAGAGAGGCTATTTCATACCTGCAGCCCAGCTCTGGAGAGAGCAAGGAGCTCTTTCCTGGATACGTTTGTTCTCTCTCAGAACAGGGACACAGACATCCTTGTCCCCAGAGCACAGGGGAAGTGAGCTCTACAGAAGCCACCTCTCGACACTCCTCACAGGGACTCGGGGGGGGGGGGGGGCCAAGAAAACCCCC